GGACCCAAGAGCACAGTGGAGTCATAGTTGTGGGGTCCTGAAACCAGCCTTTGAGGGTTGTTAGGGGGTCGGTGGGGCTATTGAGTATTTGGGTGTGTCATTCTCTCACAGGCAAGAAAAATGGAGGGAGAAGAGAAGAAAGAAGATAAGAGGAAAGGGACAGCTGGGGATGAGGCAGGAAGAAAGGAAGAGGTAGGAAATGGGAAATAAGGAGAGAAACCTGCTTCTAACAAGCTATAGGTGGAAAGTTTTTCTTCTGCGCTATGCAGTGTGGCTCTAGGCTTGGGAAAGTATTTTGATATTTGCTAGGTTTTTTATTAAATAATCACCACACTGGAGCCCACTGCTTATCAACAAAGCAATGACTATGCCTAGAAAAGAAAGGCAGTCAGTGGTAGCTGCTGCTATCTTTCCCAGTTTCTGTGACCACAGAGGCATGCCACCAAGGCCTGCTGCAGCACTCAGAAGGCACAGGCAGCTGTTTGTCCTTTTTGTCAGTGATGTGTGAGTGTAGGTATGCACACATTTCAAACATGTGTATAAAGGTCAGACATCAACTCAAGTGTCACTCCCTGCCTTCTGCCTTGCTTAAACAGGGTCCCTTGTTTTCTAATGCATACAGCAGGTTGTCTGGCTTGTGAGCTTCTAGGAATTCTCCTGTTTCTGCCTTCTCTACTGCCATAGGAGCTGGGCCTGTAGATGCACGTGATATTGTATCTGGTTTTCTGTGAGTCCTGAGAATTTGGACTCAGGTTCTCAGGCTTGCAGGCCAAACATTTTATCCACTGATCTACTTCCGGAGCCTGATCTTTGACTGCTCTTTAAGAACTGGCTGGTTGCTTTCCCTTTCATTGAAGGCTTTAATTAGAAACTTAATCCTTACAGATGCTTCATTTAGTTACATTGTAAGCATAGACTTTGACCAAAAAAGCAGAAAAAGAAGAGGGGCCAAAGCCAGGCCTGCAGCTACCTACCCTCAGTATAATATGATGCTTCCCCATAGAAGCACATGCAGTTTTAGGAGAATTATGATAGTAATGAGATCTCATATGTGTGTTTGCATATGTACTTTTTTTGGCTAACTGATGACATTAAATTTTGGGATGGGCTTTTTAGGGGACACATGTAAGAAAGAACTAACAGAGAGGATGGGTCTAGAGATGAAAATAATCCCATGGTATCTAAAGGCACTGATTTTGTTCCCCTCTGCCTACTCAATCCAAATAAATCATTTAAATTACGGTAAACACAGGGTTTGCTTATTGCACCAACTCCTTTTATTGTGAAAGAAGTCATTTCAGTAGAAGAGGCTGATGATGTCCAGTCAGAGGGCAGGAAAAGAGTGGTTTGTTTGAAAGTTTGTGGGTGCTACAGGCATGGATTCCTCACATTTTCTAAAATGCTAGGAAGAGTCCTTTAAGTGGCAGACTTGGGTCCAAGTTCCCAAAATAGGTTTCTATATAAACTTTTCAGGAACACATGTGCTGTGAAAAAGATGTTTGTAGCACGGGGACTCCAAACACAGCCTGAAGAATGTGTATTAAGGGCTGGATGTTCTTCCACACCAGGAAGGGGTGGCCAGAGCCACTGACAGCCAGGGCCACTGGTGGCCAGGGCCACTGGAGACCAGGGTAACTGACAGCCAGAGCCACTGATGACCACTGTGCACTTAGGTTGGGAGATTAAAAGAAAATAAAAAATTCAACCACTTGCATATGTTGCTAAAAAGTCAAAAGGAGTTTGATGATGAAAAAGACATGTTCCAGAAGCTGTGATTTGAGGTCAAATGGCTCAGCTCAATGTGAGACAGGGTGAGCCTCATTAAGAAGGGATCCAGACAAGGCAGCATGACCAGTTCAGATGACTGCCTCTTGAGAACTGGTGTAGTTGCTTCCCCAAAGGTTTTAATTAGAAAATTACTCCTTATGGATGCTTCATTTAGTTACATTGTAAGCATAGACTCTGGCCAGAAATGCAAAAAGAAGAGCAGTGAGAGCCAGGCCTGCAGCTACCCACAATGCACAGTCATGTTGGGACATCTGCAGCACAATTCTGGAGTATGCCGAGTCACGCAGAGTTGCAGCACAGGTGTCTGAAGGTGAAGTCAGATGATTTCCAAACCTATTTCTGAATTCCTATAAAGAGAGAAACAGGTAAGAAAAGTAATTTTCAGAAAAAAATTCCTGCAGTGATCCTTATTCTTTCAACCCAGCCACATTTGGATGCCCTGCAGGGTCCAGGTAGCCCCAAGCCTGGTATGGAAAAGTTGGCTTCTTTCTCTGAGGAGTAAAACAGTCTTGTTTTTTCAGACTACATAGAAGGCATTTTGTTCATCAAACACACCCTTGAGGGCAGACATTCCAAGGTGTTCTGCCATTGGAGGAAGGCTGAACCCATCTCCAGGTAGGCCTATAAAGGTCAGGGTGACCTGAGTGGCCCGATCCATAGAGTTCTCTCCATTTACTTTGGTGTGCCAGACACAGAAAGGCTGGGACAACTCAGTGTGAGCGGAGTACAAGGTGTGAGTCAACATGACTGTTCTCCATTCAGTAAGGCTTCTAGTCTGACATGGGGAAAGTGGAGGAAGGAACATTGCTACTCTCATGGGTTTTAATATTTCCCAGCACACATTGTCTCTATTGTATGAGATTTTTCACATTAGCAACCACCTTTGAAAACAATGTCACCATATAGCATGGACACCCTTGCTGGGACATGTAGATAAGAGAATCACAGAGGCTGGAGAAGGGGCACAACATGGCAGAGGGGTGCAACATGTGTCGTTGTAAGCACAGTTGTCCTTGAGCAACCATTGGATTCTCTTGTGCCTCCCTTCTGAGCACTTTGACAGTCCTGAGCCACTCTTGTCTACTGTGTGGAAGTGCTCCTCTCCACTGCAAACACTGGCTGGTGCCTGAGAGTGGAGAGAAGTAGAGGCACATTGGGCAATACTAAGACCTGAAGACAAGGGCTGAAGGGCAGAAAGAATTGAATGACATTTAACAAAATAGAGGAAATGAACTGAGTATAGGCACAGAAATATGGAATCTGGAGAGATGGCTCATCGGCTAAGAGTGCTTGCTGCTCTTGTAGAGAACCCAGGGTTCAGTCCTCAGTACCCACACTGGGCAGCTCACAACCACCTGTAACTCCAGAACCAGGAGATCTCATGTTCCCTTCTGAACTCAGAGATTACTGCACTCAAGTGCACAAACCCCACATAGATATACACACAATTTAAAATAGAGAAGAAATATAGAAAGGAAGGCAATGTTTATGACCCAATTTCCAACCTTGTATTTATACCTGATTCATGTGGAAGAACCCTTGGTTTCACTGTAGGAGACTGATGGGGATTTTAAGGTTGTTGCTAGCATGATGACTTTCTCAACTCCAACTACAGTCTTTGTTTGGGCCCATACTGCCTTGCTGGTCTCTATGCAAGGGGAGTCTTTATCAGGGAGCCACACCCTCCAGGAGACAGCTCTTCTTTGAGGCTGGCTCTTGTGGTGTTTGGTACAAGCTTCCACTTCAATTGACTGAAGGAGCTCTCAAGAATGGTACTCACAATGGATTTGTAGTTTTTAAATAATCATTAGAAGTTATTTGTATGAGACTGCTATCAAACCTGGAAGTCTATTGATATGTTCAGTACTTTTGGTAACTTCGGCATATGTCTATCAAGTAATGTTGCCTCCATGTGTCATGTGACTCAACTTACTTTCATTCCCATTCATAACTGTGCCTTTGGTAATTATGTTCAGAGTTATGTGTACTGGGGATGATGGGTTCTATTTTATATGAAACCATGGGAAGGAAAAGGTGGTTCTCAGTCTAATGAACATGGTTGGGGTTTTCTCAGAATGTTGGTTTCAACAAGACTGAAATGGCAGTGTCCTCACTTTTGCTCCTCTGGCCTGCTCTATGTTCAAACTCCCTGACCATGGTCAAACTATAGAAGGACCATACCAAGTTACAGTGCTCTCTGAGGATCAAAAGCTTTGTAACAAACCAACACCCCAGGACATATCTTCAGGAGAAAGTCGCTTACTGAGAAGCTGCCCTGGCCAAGTAAGAGTCACCTGATCTATAGGATGAACAAATGTGAATGGAGAAACACAAGTAAACATGGCCTCTCCAAATAAGAACAAGATGCAAGGAAAGTGAAATAGAAGAAAGACATGCCAGATGGAGAATTAAAAAAAAATAAATAAATGGTACCCCAAGGCCTTGCATAAAACTGGTAGAAAGATCGGAGCAGAAATAATGAAACACATATGAAGACAGTACAAACAGAAAGCCTAATGACCCAAGTTTGATCTCCAGGACTCCCATAGTAGGAGTGAAACTGATGTCTGAAAATTGTTCTCAGTTGAATTGTGTCATGGAGACCCACTAGATTTGAATCTGAAGGTCTGACCCCTTCACATGTTCCAGCAGTTCATAGATGAGGTGAGTGTTGGGATGGGCTACCTCATATTCCTGGTTCCTGGCCTGAATGGCTAGAACCTGTCAGCTTTCCTTCATTATCACCACCCAGGTGAGCTTTCCAGCACTGTCCCAGCTGGTTCCCCCAATGTAGCGGACAGCAAGGAGCAAGGCCAGTTCTCCTGCCCTCACACCCTGAGGTCCAACTCACCCACAGTCACACCACCAGGAAGAGCTCTACTGTTTTGCCCAGGCAAGGTGCAGGGCCCACTCTGTGGATTGTTGTACTTGATGAGTGGCAGGGCCAGCTCTTCCATTCTCATGCCCTCTAGGTTGGCTTTCCTGGCTGAAGCAGGTGGCAGGTGGTGTAGGGAAGGGCAAATTTTTCCCTACCCTTGCCATCCCATGGCATACTGGCAGGGGGTGGGGGTCCCCCTAAACCTTTTAACTAATGTAAAGACATTTATTCCTAAAACTCAAATGCCTCTTTAATATAGCCAATTCAAGAAATTTTACTGCTTATTAAACAATCAGTTCTGGTATTCATAATTTTTAAGAATTTGAATTCCCAGAAATATCTTTCCTAAAATAAATGTGAAACAAGGCAGGGGCTGATATTTGCTCAGTTGAAAAAAAATTCACTTTATTTTCACAGATCAAAGGATACACTGGGAGCTCCTACTATGCACCCCGCTAACTTTGATTGAGGTGCTTCTCCCTCCTTGGAAATCTCACTGCTCCCTTGATCAATTTCTAAACCTGTCTTCTTGCTAGCTTCTCATGGCATCCTGACACAGGCTCTTGCCATGTAGCCCAAGAAAGCCTAGAAGTCAAGATTCTCCTTCAGCTTTTCACTTCTGGGATTATAGGTGAGATTTACATACTTTACTTTTCCAGAGTATAGCTTATCAAATCCCATTGAAACAACAACTCTGCTAAAAACAGAAGCAAATATATACACCCCCAAATCAACCAAACAACAATAAGCATCTAAATTCAGAAGCCCAGTGATGAGAACCCAAGCAGTTACAGGTAAAAGCAGTGGGGTGGCTGCACCACCTGGCTCTGATCAATTCCTTCTCTAGCAGGATGCATGTTTTGGCCAGGGACAGAAAGTGGGGTCTTTAACTTGAGCATGTTCTTGGAACCATGGTTCTAGCAGCCATGACTGCTGATCCTGGGCTCCACTCCCAGATCCCCCTAAGGTTCTCAGACACATTCTCTTCTCACTGCGCATGTCCTCACTGCACATGTCCTCACTTGTAACGTAGTGATGCTCAGAGCATTAGTATTTGTGCATCATGGGTTGTTATGAGAACCAAGTGAGACAGGCATATGAAGTACTCAGCATATAAAACTCACCTGATAGCAATGCATTCCATGGTACTCTGAGGTTCTAATGGACTATGCAAATGACCTCAAAAATTCTTGGAAAATTACAAAGCCACCATTTTATTGCTTTTCCAATATTGAGTAATCCACTCATGGTATTTTGGTTCATTACAAATAGCAGAAAGAGGCATGCAGTATGACAAATGAGTGCCGAGTCCAACTTCAGCTATCCATGTGATCCAAGCCTAATTACTACTTCTATGATATAAGAATACTAACCTCTGCCTTAAATGGTGGTAAAAGTTAGAAGATACGCCAAGGGCTCTGCCTGGGCTCTGGGCACATAAGAAAGGTTGCTGTTTATGTATGTTGTTTATGTATGCTGTTTATGTTGCTGTTATGTATGTGTCATGGAAAAGTGAAGACTCTAATGGTACTTAGCAGCAGTACCAAGATAACAATGTCCCCATAGACATCAACCCATGAGAAGAAAGCTATACTCACAGTAAGTCAGCATTCATACTCACTCAGAGATGAACAGCAAGGCTCCCTGTTAGGCAAGAAGACTTGTGGAGTGAGTCCCGGGGAAAAGCTCTTCACGAAGGCCATCCCCACATTTTGTCTTTTCTTGTTATTATTTTCTCAGAATTGAACTCAAGACATGGCTTTGCTCAGGAAAACCCTGTCAACTATCACCTGCCTGCATGTCCTATGCTCTGTCCCTAGCATAGTGCATATCAACTTCTTAAGTCTGCTTACATCTGCTCTACCCATGGACACTCCTGAGAAGACCTTCATTTTCCAGTAGATGCTCAGGACCTGGTATCAAACCGGAGGCAGTGCAAGCTGAGTGGATACTGAGATGTCTACCTGTTCCTTAGGGTCACATGGTCACATTTCATTTTATGTAAACATTCTTTCCATGGAAAATGCCATTTGTCTGCTGTATTATTAGACCATCAGGGATGGGACAAGTACACGGGTGAGGAAATGGCATGGTGTGAATGTTAATCTCCATTTTCAACTAGATCAAGAATTACCTGGGAGACACAGCTTGGGGCATATTTCTACCTGAAATAAGGGAGGTGCTACCCCATGGGCTAGCGGCCTGGGCTGAAGAAAAAGGAGAAAGTCAGTTAGGAACCAACATGCATCTCTCTGTCCCTGACTGCAGACACAGGTGACGAGCAGCTTCACGTCCCTGCCACCATGCCAACCTTTCCTGCCATGACAGACTCAGTTCACCTTTCAAACCACGAGCCAAGACCACCTTCCTTCCTTAGGTTGCTTAGGTCAGACACTTTGTCACAGCCATGAGAGAAGTAACTCATACATGTTATAGATTAGTTTTCTAATATGACTTTAACAAAGTACC